ATTGGTGTATTGTCTAGCGATGGAAACTCCGATTTCCACCGATTTCTCTCTTTACGAACTCCGACAACCATTTTCTCGACATTTTCAAGGTATCACGGCTTGATCTCTCTTTGTATTTCGATTTTCGTTGAGCTTGGATTACTATTCTTGCCGGATAGTCGTGTTGGGTGATTGGAGTTGGACTCGTGTGATAGGCACATCTTGCCGAGCGTGCCAATTTTTGTGTTGTTGTTGCCGAATTTTTGAGTTTGTGGGTTGCTACATACGGCAAGTGCCGGTAATTGGTTCGTGCGTTGAACCTAAGGGAGTTGGTCGTGTCATGCCATGGAGAGTATCATTGAGGGCCTCGAGGCTCGATTTTTTAGCTTTCATGCATACGTGTGTCTTTGTCGAGTTTCTGGATTCCCAGTTATTATCCCTTCGAGACGCATACATATGGCCCTTACTCAAAGCCGAAGGACGGGATTCTCTTATGCTTTCAAGTGTTATAGTGCCCGATTGGCTACTGAATCAGTATGCTTTCATTGTTCAATGGTCGGATGGCTTTATTTTTCACTCGAGGACCTTCGGATCATTTTTCGTTATTCCCACCGGACGAACACCATTAGACACACGGTGGAACACCACCGTGTAGAGTACGCATTTTCCTTTCTTATTTTTCTTTTCGCCTAGTTGTTTCTTGTGTATTTTTGTGTTCTCTTTCTTTTTGTATCTTCGTTTATTTTGTTCTGTCTTGTGTATCACATGAACTCGTGTGATTATGTGCTCTATCCTATAATTTTTGGTTAAGCATGAGGACATTGCTTTGTTTTAAGTGTGGGGGAGGGATTTTCATGATTATGCATGTTTTAGCGATATTTCTTTCATTTTTGGTGCTTTATTTTCGTTTTGGACCAATTTTTTTGTTTAGTTTTTGTGTGTTTGAGTAACCTCTCCCGCATGATGCTCAATGTTTGTTCGAGAGTCGAGATATATAAGTGGTGAGTCGAGATTGTTGATTGGTGCCACTATTAACGTTCATGCGTTATGTACTTGATGAATTGGACGGTGTCCTAAAATTGAATGATAATTCGTTGACATGGGAACCCGCATGTGAATTCACGGAATTGTTTTGTCCCTTGTTTGTTCTCGATTGATGATCTTGAGACATACTTGCCTTATGTTCGATTATTGTAAACATGTTATGCTATACACTTGTGGTACGTTTTGATTGATTTGTGATGTTCATGATATTGTATTCGTGATGTATCCTTGTGTGCCACTCCCTTCGAAAAAAAAAAAGAATAAAATGTGAGTTCGCGAGGAAATACGGATTAGGCTCCTCTAATTCCGAGCCATTTCGTGGAATGGGATAATGAGTCCGGGATACCGGTCTAGGAAACTCGAGGAACCCTCGAGGTTAAACTTAGATAAGCATCGTCCGGAAACCTCGTTTGGAAAAAGTAGCTCACTAATAATAAAAATAAATAAATAAAAAAAAAGAGGAATGAGAATTGGCTTATTGGTTTCATGCTTATCATCCTTATATGTGTAGTAGACCATTTATAGCTATTTGCACGTATATGTAGAAGAAGAGAGTTTGAATCGAGTAATCATGTGTAGAATAACTTGGGACGGGTTTTTGTTTTGTATGGATTCACTGTGTGGGTAACGCGTTTCCGGATTGGAGTTTGATTTTATGGATAACCTGATGAAGATGAGAGTCTCATTTAGCATGCTCATTAATTTTGGACTTTTCAATCTTTCTTTTCGAGCTACTTGTTGTTTTGTTAGCTTGAGGACAACCAAAGAGTTAAGTGTGGGGGAGTTGTTTGTTATGTTTTTGTGCATATTTTCTTGTGTTTTATGTGCTTTAGTAGAATCGTTTTTAGGTTCGTTTGAGTGTCAACCGGTCCATTTTGTTGTGTTTTATGTGTTTTCGTTTTCATTATGTGTTTTTGTATTTTGCCATGTTTTTGCGTCTCTTTTGGTGTGATGTTTAGGTCCAATCTGCACGATCGGAAGACGAGCAATTTTCCGAGACATTTTCGAGCCATGTCCGCACCTTATCCGAGCCACCCGAACCAACATCAAGTCACCCGAGCCACTTGATCGAGCAGTGAGTCTAGCCCTAAGTGAGTCGGTCGTTGCCTGCACTCGCAGCCAGCATGCATTCGCGACGTGCGAGATGGCCCGCGAGGCACCAAACCGGCCCCGCGCACTCGCTGCGGAAGTAGACTTGCGCCCTGCGAGACACCTGTGATGCGCAACAGCCCAAGCCCGCGCACTCACTGCGAAACGCGGTTGGCGACCCGTGAAGACGGCATGCGTGCATGACAGCCCTGGCCCAGACTCGCTGCGAGTTCCCTGTGGCGACCTGCGAGATGGCGGGCGAGAGAGGAACGACCAGCACTCGCTACGAACAAGGATTCGCGCTGCGCCAAACGCCTCACCACAGCTACCCAAGGCTCGAACTCGCTGTAGAACTACTTCCGCGACCCGCGAATGCGCCCAGCTGCACTACTCCACTCCCACACTCTCAGCGAAACTAGTTTCGAGACCCGTGAACTGCAAAATTTTAGTAAATGTGTATGTTTCTAGTGTGTGTTTGTGGTGTAGCTATAAATAGACATTGTGTTTTGTATTTTTGGATATCTCCCCTCATTTCCCAACATTTTTGTTGGGAAATCCTCTCTATTTTCTCTCTTTTATTTTTGTGCTTTGGTTTGGAGGTCCAACACTTGACATTTTCCGGCGAGTTTTTCGGTAACTTTTTCGGCTACTATATTTTTTTTATCTAAAATTCGATCTTTACGCATTATTTTCCTCCGAGCTTTCTATAGGAGGATAAGTACCTTGATTAGGGCTTATTACTTCAATTTTGTGATTTGGTCGGGATTTTGTGTTGATGCTCGATTTTAGTGCTTTGCGTTATATTCATTGCTTGTTCAAGTGTGTTAGGATTCGATATGTGCTTATCTAGTATACAGGTCTCGACTTTGCTCAAAGAGTGATGATCTAGTGTAGAAGGCTCGTGTTAGAATACCTAGGATCACTTGGCTATCATGTTTTCTTTTCATTATTTTATTTTTGTCAAGTTATGGAGACTCCGAGCAATCAAAGTTTCGATATTTCTTTCCATTCTTGCATCGTTCATCATTTTCTCTTAGATTCTTAGTTTAATTTCGTGCAGTCCATCCCCATCAAGTGAGTATAATGTGTAGGACCTTATTTTTTGTTATGTGATTTTGACGAATAGGTAGTGAACGAAGTCCGAATAGCCTTCCTTTGAGAACGACTCGAGGTCGGCTAGCTCGGTTACTATCTACCGAAAAATACTACAAACACTCAACTCCGGTAAACTGTTGCCCAATAGGTGATTTACATAACATTGAAAGAAATGTATATTAATGATGAGTAACACACATAGTATAGTGTGTACATATTATTTATACATATATAATTTATGTATTTTAAATCTAAAATAATATAAAGTACTAAATAAATAAATATAAAATATATTATTATAATATAAATGATAAATTAAGTTTAACCAACCAAATAGCAAAATTATCCCAGTCTACAAAAAAAATAAATAAATAAAAAATTGCACTGCATAATAAACAATATATTAATTAAGATGCACACTAATGAATAGCAGACTGCACATTAATCATAGATTAAATGCACAATAACGAATTTGATATTTAAAAAAAATGTTGTTATGCTAGTTTGCAATTTTTTACAGATATTAAAAAACTAAAAAATCTGTTAGTTTGGTCAAATTTTTGCTTGTTTAAAAAAACAAAATAATAAAACCGACCAGACTATATAATAATATCATTCTTTATATTATATATATATACATGTATTATTTGTTTTCAAAAAATAAAGGCATAAAAATATTAAGTAAAAATTTTGATAATAAATATATTGTTTATTATATATATGATATGATAAATGCAAAATAATGTTGATTGAAATACACACTATTAAGGCTTTCTAAAAATGAGAATGCACGATAGTGTTAGACGTATTGCATGTTAGTGACCGTCAGATTGCATATTATTGAACCGACATATAAAGTATCAAAGCGCAATATATTTTTATGTGTTGTGAGTGCGCAATAGTGCCAAACATGTTGCACATAAATGACTACCAGATTGCACACTATCGACCAACTAGACCAGACTAACATTTTAGATTTTAAATTTAAGAACCAGATGAACAAACCAATTGATAATTATGTATTTTGTAAATAAAATGTAATAGGATTTATAATGTATTTGAAAATATACAGTATTGTGCATCTCACGTATTATTAGTGTGCAGTATATTGAATGTTTAATAAATTACAAAATTGCCCCACATATTAGAATGCAACATAATAAGATTCTAGAATTGCACCAAAGTCTCCGCACACGCAAACAAATAAAAAATAAAAAATCATGTCACCGTGCACACATGCACACACACACACACAAAATACACGCACAATTTCGCCATCGCCGCGCCGGAAAATGGAGAACTCAAAACATGTCGTCCTGTCCGTGTCGGCCGCTAGGTGCCGAGCGTCAGCCGTTGGAATCATCTACGCCGGCGAGCTCGTCCATCCGACCGACATCGCAAGGTAGGCGCGCAGAATGGTCGGGGCTTGGGCGGACGACGATGTGATGACTAGGGCCTGGTTTGATGGAGCGTCTATATTGTCGGATGGTTTAGTTTCGCCGGACGGTAGGACTCTGAAAAAATGCCCACGACTGAGGCGTCGGCTGGCGACTGGTGGGGAACGAGAAGCCGAACCTCTAGATAAAATGGAAACTATGGCTGCGGGCAGCAAGGGTTGGCGTACGGCTATGGGCGGTGACTGCACGGCGGGACTACAGCGGGGATGGCATCTATCCCGGCGACATCCACCATGGTGATGATGCGACCGAAACGGCGCGGTTACGGCGGGGCCAGCGACGACATCTACCGCTGGACGGCTTCGGCGACGGCGTTCATACTGCGCGCCAGCTGAGATGGGGGTTGTGGTTGGAGTTGTGGCGGATGGTGGCCGTTGTGGAATACGGAGAATGGAAGATGGTGATAGACGGGGATGGGAGATGGTGAAATTGGAGAGTTAGGTGGGAGGAGTGTTATTACATAAATGCCCTCATGGTTAATTGATTGACCAATATGAACTATGTAGTTATAAATCTACCATTGCCAATTTGACTGAACTTGGTAGCTTTTGACTTCCACTTAGTCATTGATAAAATAGATCCAATGGTTCACAATTATTCTCATTTCTTTTACTATGACTCATATATATCTATATAGGGTCGCGCTCCGGTGAGAATGGTGCTCAGTGAAATAAATGATAATGAATCATAGCCATTAGATCAGATGATCTCATGGTTAAAAAAAAGTCAAAATTATGCCCTCATTTAGGGTAATGTGGTAATTTTCTACACTACATTAACAAAGTGGACCCCACTCCACATTAACAAATGTGCCAACCAACCCTACTCACGTCACCAGCCCACCCACCCACATCAACACGCCTCACCCCACCCCACCCCCTCCCCACACTCTCTCTCACATACACACGCACACACAGAACACACACATGCACACACGCCGGGAATACACACACCACCACCGTCGTTGCATACATTCCCGTCGACGGGCTCACCCAGTGCCACACCATAGCCACCGCTACACCGCCGCCAACCGAGCCTCTCCACTGTCGGTTTCAGGCTTCTCCGGTGGCAGCCGCTTCAGGCCACCATTTAATTGCAGCATCTGACACCAACAGTCCGATGCAGATTCCAGTCACCAGATTCCGGCACCGACGTCCACCACCCATGTCCGCAGCTCCAAACCCACTGCAGCCACTGCCGCGCCTTCATCCCTCTACCTGACCTCTGCGGCCAATCTAATCCGACTGTTCAGGGTACATCCGCAGCCAAGCTGCTTCTCCAATTGACGATGTCCGGCGAGACGAGAAGAATGAGTGGGCTGATTAGGGATGGGAGAAGCACGATTCCAGAATTGGGGCTGGTAATGGGGTGAGTTTGTTTTTTGTAAATTAGATGATTTGGAAGGACCTAAGTGTAAATTAAAAAGTTTTAACTATATTTCAATTGAGTCCATGTGCTAAATTTATTATTTATAGAAAATATAATAAATACTGTTATTTATTTTTATAAAACCATATTTTTATACATATATATTATATTTTTTAAACCAAAACTACTATAAAATATTAACAAAAGTACTATATTAAAATAATTTTTTATTTTAATAATGTTGTTATTTTAACCAAAAAAATAATATTAATATATTAAATATATTTTGAAAATAGAAAATAATGAAACATTTTAATTATTTAGGTTTGGATTGCACATAAAATGAAAAAAAAAACGAATGCACAATAAACAAAATGAATATTAGTGAGCTACGTACTTTATCATGATGGATTCGAAAATTGTGGGTAGAGATGAAGATTTGGCTAATCGGCTCTAAGGGTTCTCCCTTTCTTCAAAGCAAGCTCTGGTCACGGACATTAAGCACGATGATATCAAGCTTAGTGCTGAGGAATGTGGTCGCAGCTTATTCGGGAAAGTAGTAGGGGACCGAACAGCCAGTTGGATCGGCATCAAGAGGACGATGAATAATATTTGGAGGCTTCACCACCCAATGGAAGTTAAGGAATTAGGTCACAATTTTTTCCAATTCCTCTTTCACAATCGTGACGACATGAAAAGGGTCGCCAATGGCACGAACTGGATATTTGATAACCAGTACCTAATATTGAGAGAGTGGGAGAAAGGGCTCACCAGCAAGCACCATGGCTTTCAAGAGCTCAACTTATGGGCTCATGTATACAATCTGCCACTCGATTGGATCAGTGCTGAGGTGGGTCTCAAGCTCAGCAATGTCTTCTCGGAAGTTAAGAATGTGGTGGTTGTCAATGCTGGTGCTCATGGAGGTAAGATTCTAAAGCTTCTCGTTTCTGTTAACATAGCTGAGTCTCTGCCAAGATGTACTAATATCAGACTAGGAGAAGACATTGTAACTGTGGGTTTTAAGTATGAGAGGCTGGTGAATCTGTGCTACTACTGTGGGATTATTGGGCATCTGGATAGAGGCTGTTCAAAAAGGCTAGAAGACATTAAATACCACAAGTTGAAAGATGGTCAATACGGGGATTGGTTAAAAGTGGAAGAGAGTAAATCCTGGCAAAATTATAGTCACTCTAACTCCAGGCAGTCTCCTCCCTCAGGACGCACTCCTACTGAAGCTAACACTGCTCATCCATCTAGCTCTAATGATCAGCAGGGTAGGAGAGACCAGGCCTCACAGGAGCAAAGGGAAATGGCCAATGACCAGCTTCAAGATACAGTAGCCTCTAACTCAGATATGCAGGTTGTGCAACAGAATACTCAGTTGGCCCTATCAGAACAAGTCTCTTCCCACAAAGTTCCTGCCATGGACATTGTTCCAAGAGATCATATAAATCAAGAGGAATCCAGACTTATGGAAATTGAAATTAACATACCAGAACTGCCAGGGCTTACTCATCCTGTTACTAAGAAGGAGAAGGCTAAGGGAATGGTAGTATCCAAAGTCTCCACTTGGAAAAGGTCAGCTAACAAAGAAGGTAGGCTGCAAAGACAGGTGGATACAAACCAAGAAGGGGGAACTGTATCAGGGTCCTAGAGGGACAGAGAGGATCTTCCTGTACTCAGTCACCATGAAAATGAGCAAGTGATTTCTCTAATCTCTGATAAAAAGATGAAAATGACACTTAATCAGGTGGGGGATGCCAGCCTTGAGTGGCACCCAAACTCTAAATGTTAGCTGCGGATGGAATTGTAGAGGGCTGGGTGGGCCCTCTACAATTTCCCAAATCAAAGAGTCTTTTAGGACTCACCACCCACAGTTTTTCTTTCTTTCTGAAACTAGACACACTTCTACTTATGTAAAGTCTATTAGTAAAAAGCTGGGATTGGAGGACAGACATGCCATTGTTGATCCTAGAGGACAAAGTGGAGGTCTCCTTCTATTATGGAAGCAGGAAGTGGAGATAGTCTCAATGATCACTAAAAACTTTTATATTGCAGTCCACTTCAAAATAGATGATGTAGACCAAGGTTGGGGAGTTTTTGTGTATCTGAGTGTAGACAGAGCAGCCAGAGATGCTCAATGGTTGGCTATTGAAGCTGATAAGCAGGCTTGGGGGGATGTTTGGTTTATCATTGGAGATTGGAATGCTATATGTTCAATGGATGACAAGAAAGGGGGTAGACACAGGCAGGACAGCTACTTTGATGGGTTCAACAGATTCATTTCTGCTATGAAAATGGAGGAGATAGTTATGGATGGGCATCAGTTTACCTGGTGGAATAACAGAGCTGGGTCTGAATCAGTAGAGGAGAAACTTGACAGGGGCTTTGCATCCTTAGACTGGTTGGGTCCTCATCCTTCTACCAAAGTTCTCAATGTGGTAAGAAGTGCCTCAGATCATTCCTTGCTTTTACTTACCTATGGAAACTCCTCCCCAAAGCAAAAGAGAAGATTTTTATTTGAAAGGAGATGGGCCTCAAAAGATGGGATAGATCAGGTGGTGCAACAGGCCTGGAACTTACCTCAAGAAGGGACCCCTTTCTATATTCTAAAGGAGAAAGTTAAGCAAACCAGGAAGGCATTGCTCATTTGGAGTTCCTTCTTTCAAATCTGAGAATCTAAAGAAAATTGAGATGCTCTCTTGCCAGTTAGAACAGCTCAGGGCTGAAGGGAGGGGTGATAATTGGGAAGCTTGGGACTCGGTCAAAGAGGATCTGGTTGAAGCTCATGCTTTTGAAGAGAGATTTTGGGCTCAGAAAACTAGAACTCAATGGCTTAAAGAGGGTGACTCAAATACTAAGTTCTACCATGCTTACTGTGCTCAGAGAAGACGACTTAATGCCATCTCTAGGCTGGTTACTGATGGCAATCGAATATGCAGCACCAAGTCAGAAATTGAAGACCATATTACAAATTTCTACTCTTCCTTGTTTACTTCTGAAGGCTCATGGGGTGGAGAGAGTTTACTTCCATTAATCCCTAGGACTATCACTTCTGATATGAACCAAATGCTCCTTCCCCCAGTTGACACTGAAGAGATCAGATTAGCATTTTTCAGTCTTCATCCTGACAAGTCCCCTGGAGAGGATGGGATGACAGCATTTTTCTACCAGCATTTTTGGCACTTCATCCAATCAGATTTTGTTGCAGCAATTCAAAGCTTCTTTGACTCTGGTATGCTTCTTAGATACTGGAATCACACTTTGATCACCCTTGTTCCTAAGTGTCTGAATCCTTTAACTCTTAATCAGTACAGACCTATTTCTTTGTGTTCTGTTGTCTACAAAGTGCTTTCTAAGTTGCTTGCTACAAGATTAAAAAGTTGTCTCAGTTCTTGCATAAGTGACAGTCAATCTGCTTTCATCAAAGATAGGCAGCTGCTAGACAATGTAATTTTGGCTCAAGAAGTGTTCCATTTTCTGAGTAGGCATAGGTCTGGGAAGAACCACTTTATGGCATTGAAATTGGATCTTATGAAAGCATTTGATAGGGTGGAATGGGTTTGTATTGAGAAAATCATGATCCAGATGGGATTCTGCTCTACTTTTGTGAAGTTGCTCTTAGTCTGTGTCTCTACATCAACTCTATCTGTTTGCATTAATGGTGCTGTCAGTGGTATAATCTATCCTTCAAGAGGAATCAGACAGGGGGACCCTTTGTCCCCCTACTTGTTCATTATTGTCACTGAGATGTTATCTGCTCTAATTTCTGATTCTTTGCAAAGAGGCAGATTGAGTGGGATAAGACTGTCAAGAAATGGCCCGACTCTTTCTCACCTTCTATTTGCCGATGATGCTCTTCTTTTCTGCAAGGCAGATATATCCCAAGCTCATGAACTGATGACTCTTCTGGAGAGATACAGGCTGTTTACTGGGCAGAAAGTTAATCTTCAGAAGTCAACAGCTTACTTCAGTAAGAACACCACCTCTCATATTCAGAATCAGATCTCTGCAGCTCTGAATGGTATCCAACTCGATACTTCTACAAGGTATTTAGGGCTACCTCTGGGAATTGGTAGATCTAAAGTTGAGGTATTCTCTTATATTTTGGATTCTGTTAAAGCTAAACTTTGGAGTTGGAAAAACAAATTATTATCAATAGCTGGCAAGGAAGTTCTGCTCAAAGCTGTGATTGATGCTCTCCCAGTGTTCTCAATGTCTTGTTTTAAACTCCCTCAGTCCATTTGCAAAGCAATTGCCAGGCTTAGTGCTCAGTTCTGGTGGTGTAAGAGTGACACTAAAGAAAGAGGAATCCACTGGAATGCTTGGAAATTCATGACTCTACCTAAGGAGGAAGGAGGTATTGGGTTCAAAGACATAATTCTATTCAACCAAGCACTTATATGCAAGCAGCTGTGGAGGCTTGTTACTCAACCTGAGCTTCTGGTTTGTAGAGTCCTTAAGGACAGATATTTCCCTTCATGCTCAATCTTTGATGCTTCTAAAACCCAGCAAGGCTCTTGGCTTTGGCACACATGGCTGGACTGTTTGCCTGTTTTGAAGCAGGGGCTGAGGACTGAAATCAGGAATGGAGCCCTTACTAGGATTTCTGATTTGAATTGGGTTCCTTCTCTCCCCAATTCAAAGCCTAAACTGTTAGACATTGCTCAGGGACATATAATTTGGGTGAAGGAGTTGCTGCAAGAAGATGGATTTGGCTGGAACACTTGGCTGGTCCAACAGCTATTTAATGCTGAAGATAGCCATGCTATTCTGAGCATTAAGACCACTAATCCTGCCAGAAATGACAGAACCTATTGGAGCCTCAACAAGAAAGGGAATTTCTCTGTTTCCTCTACTTATGAGCATCTGATCCACCAGAAAG